TTATTTCTTAATATCTCAGAGATCGGTACATTTTCAGCTCACCGCCTTACTACGAACTTAGCGGTCCTTCGTTGTTGGAATCTCAAAAACTGAATATCAAACATGCACTAAACGAATTGTATGGCAATAACATTGGACAACCAGTGTTGTACGAGTGGATTGCGCATTTGAAGAGTTATCTGGCTGAATGCGCTGAATCGAGTTCCAGGGAGGCAAAAAGGCCGAATGAGGGACCATGCGTTGTTGCTACCGCTATCCCCGATACTGCGCTCTTGACTACTGATCGACTTGTACGCCTTCCAACCATTATCAGCAGCAATACGATACTGGACCGGAGAAGCACTTTCCAGGCACATGTTGCTGAGGTTTTCAGCAAGGAAGAGGTAAGCTAGATGTCTTATCTTCAAGAATCCATAGATAAGCTTTGCTCGGATTTTTCAAATCATCACTGGTCGCTTTTTATTACAGGTAATTCTGGCACTGAACAAACTGAAAGAAAATAACAAAATCGCTCGAGCAACGCATAACATATACGCCTGGTTGACCGAGGAATTCGTCAAAGGTCGATGGATCAGACAGCACGATTGCGATGTAATTTTTCGTTTTTTTCATGGGGTTTTTTTTCTTTATGAAGCTACCTGGATTTTGCCTTTATGAAGTGTTGAAGTTTGAAAAAGTCGAAAAAGAAGGGACAAGCAGACTAAGCCTTCGGTGAGATATTAGGATCCGCTTCAAAAATATGTATTTCGTTACATATATTGAAGCGAATGCTGTAGCTTTGCTTGGTTTTTGGAAGCTTTTCAGTAGCATCACTAACATGGGCTTACCCACACTGATAGGATGCTCGGTCTTGGTATTCTTGATATTTATCAAACAAGTTTGTTTCACGTTTCAAGATTTTAATTTTAATTTTATTTGGTGTATGTTTATGAAAGATTGTAAGGAAATAAAAAAGGGGAATGTTTATTTTGTAATTCTTTTATGGACCTACGTTTCAGAGCATAAAAGATTTTTTGGGGTTTGTTCTAACTTTAGTTTTTTTTCTTTTTTTTGTAAAATTATGAAATCACACTGGCGTTTTCACATCACCATGTTGAAAGCACTGACATACAGATGCGAAATATGGTCAATAACAAAAACAAAATAAGTATTGGCACTGACTGACAGAGTTAATATTATTTGGTGGAACGAGGGGAATTTTCTGTATCTTGGTGAATTTTTTTAAGGGATACTTTCACGTCTTTTTTTTCACAAACTGTATTTGTAATTTAGGATGACGGAGAAATAGGTGCTGGTGCAAAATTGCTAAATTTACTGGAATTGATGAAAGCAAAAAATGTGTTAGTGGTTGTTACACGTTGGTACGGTGGTATCCATCTTGGTCCGGATCGATTTCGTCACATATGCAATATTGCACGTCAAGCTTTGGTGGATAATGGCTTTTCTGGTCGATAATTTTTGGTTGATTCTAGTTTTTCCTATGAAAATAACTAATGA